ATGTGCATACACCAGTTGGGTTTCACATGTGTTCTCTTGAAATTGTAGTCATGAGATTACTAAAAAAAATTAATTAGATACCATATGTAATCGAAAAATACTATTTTCTAACAGAATTAAGACACGTTTTCTTTCACTTATGTTAACTCTAAAATGATGATTCCAGTTAGCAAATGATAAGCTAGATCAAAAGGGTCTTGCTAACCTCTTACTGTAAGCTTGCTGTATAGCTGTGAATTCACTTCCTTGTCTCGCTGAAAACGCCGGAATTCATCAATTGCTTCCCTCATGATAGTAACAGCCAAAACAAATCCCTATAAAACAAAATAAAATATGGTATTTGAGAAAAATAGCTTTAACAAAAAAGTTAAGGGAATATTCTTTTACCAAGCAGTTTTACTTCCCCCCCATTTATATTACTTCTAAAACATAAACAAACACAAAGAAAAAAGACAAAAAAGTAATAATGAAACACTACAAGAGAAATATAATACATACTAAAAGATTTACAATTCTCCCTATTCCCAAATAATTTTTTTAAATTCCTATCATAACATGTACAAGCTAAACATCAGAAAATACTTAGTAACCCAAAGAAAAAAGAAATCAACAATCTGAAAAAACAGAAAAACAAAAAAAACCCCAGGAATTCTATTTAGACCGCTCGTGCCTTTAAATATCAAATTCCCAAAGGCTGACATAAAATCTTATGCTTTCTGCGCTTGAATTCTGTGGGTGGAAGAAAGCAGGAAGGAACGCGGCGCAATCCCAACATGACAGCCTCCTCCTGTGCAGGCTTGTCCGCTTTGTAAGCAAAACCTCAACAGGTCAACTTGAGGCTACATAAATAAACTCTGATGTGCTTGGGATCTCTTGTGAAATCTGTTATGCCCCCGACATGTGGCTGACAGCTCAGAGGCTACACTTGTGTTTTCCGAGTGTGAACACTCTTCAAGTCTACCTCTCTATGACCACAGACTCTTCAGAAGGCCGCATGTTACACGGACGCGCATTCCCCAGGCTACTCTGGGAATGACCCAACGCTGGACAACTGCCCTCAAAGGACAACAGTCTGTCACTCCAGGGCTGTGTCTGTATCACCAACAGGCCACATGAGGTGAGCCCTTGTGTTTACTCAAAGTTGATCCTCCCTGCTACGCTCAGAGTTGTACCATCACCGCCATCTGACTGTAGACTATTCTCATCACCCCAAAGAGAGAGAAATCCCACACTGGGCAGTGGTCACCCTCATCTCCTCCAGCCCCCAACCCCTGGCAACCACGAGTCCAACTTTCTGTCTCTATGAATTCGCCTCTTCTGGGTGATGTGGGCTGTTTAGCATTTTGATGAACAGCCAAGCTTCCTCCCAAAGTGGTTATAACCCTTAACGTGAGCTTATTGGCCATTCGTATCTTCTTGGGATAAATGTGTGTTCAGATCCTACACCCACTTGTTAACGGTGTCATTTGTCTTTTCAATGTGAAGCTGTAAGAGCTCTTTGTATTATTCTGGAAACAAATACCTCGTTAGACATGTGATTAGCATATGTGAGAGTACAAATATTTTCCCCCACTCTAGGTTATCATTTTATTTTCCTGATGGTATCTTCTGATGTCCAGAAGTTTTTAATTTTGATAAATACAATTTAAGTTTTTCTTTAGTCACTTGGGCTTTTACCGTCCAAGATCACAAAAATTTGCCTCTATGTTTTCCGCCAGGAGTCTTACAGTTTTAGCTCTTCCACTGAGGTCTATGATCCATTACGAGGGGTTTTCTGGGTATGACCTGAGGGAGGGGCCCAACTTCCTTCTTTCGCATCCAGCTGTCCAAGTGCCCCAGCACCATTCGTTGAGTGCACTGAACAATCCACCGGACGGTGTGAGCATCCTTGCCGAAAACCGATCTGTCATGAATGTAAAGGTTTATTCCTGGACTCTACGTTGTATTCGTTGGTCTATTCATTTATCCTTCTGCCAGTCCCACACCTTCTTGATTACTGTGGCTTTGAAATGAGCTCTGAAATGGGGAGGCAGGAGTCCTCCAATGCTGATCTTCTTTTCTGGGTTGCACTGGCTACTCTGGGTCTCCTGCATTTCCATATGAATTTTAGAGTCAGCTCGTGAGTTTCTGCCAAAAAGCCAAGTGGGATTTTTGACAGATTGTACTGAATCTGCAGATCAATTTGGAGAGTGCTGCCACTGTAACAATACTGTCTTTCAATTCCTGAACATGGGATGACTTTATTTAGATCTTTGATTTTTTTTTTAAAAAAATGTTTTATTAGTTTCCAGCAGGCAACCCTGTATTTTAGCTAAATCTATTCCTATTTTTTTCTTTCTGATGCCACAACAACGGAACTGTTATTGTAATTTCATTTTCAGATGATCGCTGCTGGTATACAGAAATACAAGTGGTTTTGTGTATCTATGTTGTACCCGACAACCTTCCTACCTCATTTCTTAGTTCTAACATTTCTCTGTGTGTGGACACCTCAGACTTCCCAATGTACAAGATCACGCCACTGTGCAAAGAGCCCAGGGCTCCTTCTTCCCTTTCTATCTAGATGTGTTTTAGTACAGGTAAAGACAGAGAAAAAACTATGAAAATCCAAAGCAGGAGACATCAAAATATTCTCTTAACAAACTTAGTGTTATCAAAAGCCTTAAAATTTGCACACACTTTAACCAAACAGTTTCACTTCTGGAAATTTATCCTAAAAAACAAAACAAAACAAAAAAACAAGGATCCCAGCAGCATCCAATATAAAAAACTGGAAATAACCTGAATGTCTATAAATAGGAAATTCATGGTACACTCATATGTTGAAATACTGTATTTCCTGAATTCAAAGATGCAGTTAGTCTCAGGTGGAAAGACAATACCACCTAGAGTTTTTAACAAAAACTCTAAGTCTCAACTGAGTTTTAGTAACATGAAACATAATGCATCCACCGAAGCAGGAAATACAGTTCTATGCAGCTGTTCTCATGCAGGAGAATATTTACTGTTGCAGACCATGTTCACAGTGTATACGTAATTTCTTACAATTCTACTTGTGACCCCCTTGCCTTGAGAGAGAGAGGGGACAATGGCTGTCAAGCCTATGTTCCTTAGAGACTGAAGACAGTATTGTCAGAGGAGTGGCTCTGAATCAGGCAAACGTGGCACCATCACCGGGAAGGTTTTCTGCACTACAGATCTGCTCGAGCCCTCTGCCTGGGACGTGTACTTTCACCTCCCCTCTCCAAGGAACAGGCCCACACATACATATGTCACCTAGACTCTCCAGGTCAGTCTGACTTCCACCCTGGACACCTATGGCTTAAAGACAGCAAAAGTTACTTCTCCATTCATCAAGTAATTATAAACCACAAAACATAATAGTTCCTAGTGCTTCCAAGAACTCAGGAAGTGAAAATAAGCTCTCATTTCTAAAGCAGTAATATTAGAGAAGATCAACAAATAGGGACAGGTCCCCACTTCTGAAACTGGAGGTAAGCACTCTTCAAGGAGACAGAGCCCTGGTCACAGGCAAAGACTGCTAGGACCTGCAAGCCACTCTGGGCCACACCTCAAATCTAGGGTTTACCTGAATACAGGACAGATGTGCAGGACCAGCAACAACCAAGAGGTGTCACGCCCATACTACCATGGCAGTCGCCGGCATATCTACCCTGAGAAAAGCCCCAAGAGCCAGCCTTGCAACATAAAGCAGGTGACGAGAAAGGCACAGCTGATGCCTTGCCAACATTTCCTTCTTAACAACTGGAGTCTACCACACATGGGCCTCCACCTTTAGGGTTTAGACCTACTGGGTCGTAACTGGATCAGAGCAGACCGGTGGCCTATGGGAGATGTGGACAAGTGGCCCCACAGGAGTACCTGGACCTTCCTGTGACCTCAGCACCAAGCAGGTCAAAGATGGAAGCTACAGTAATGCCACCAAGAAGAGCCAAAAGCAAACCCAAGAGGGTGACGGTATTCCACAGCAAAACCACAGTATTTGTGGCATCAGTCTGTCAGTCACAATGCCTGACAGGAATGTGTCACACAGCCGCTTCATGGGCCGGGACTAAATCTTGTACCACAAAGTAGAATTCCTTCTTCCTACTTCTCCGGATGGCGCAGGGGCCATGTGGAGTAAGTGCCAAAACAAGAGGTATTTTTATAAAAAGAGAAAAAATTCTACTGATATATCATATATTAAATATTAAATTCTATAATTCTATAATTCTATTGATATAATCAGTTTAACCACACCAGAAACTTTTCTATGTATTTTAAATAAGCTACCCTTTAAATGCCACAGAAACGCTTAGCTCTACTTAAGATAGGGAAACTCAGACACAAGCAGCACACGTACCTTTGCAAAGGTCACACTAAATGTGCAGCTTATGTTAAGCATGTTTGTCTCTGGACAGCAGGAGGTATAAGTCCAGGTATGATTTGGTTTCTCCTTTCCATACTCCATCCACACCTCCAACATGCAGAGACACTCCGAAGAAAGAGTGGACAGAAGGAAGGACCGAAAATCAGAGTCCTCGCAGACTGACTGATCACCTACGCAGTCTATCTGGCTTTCCATTAACAAAATACCACGAACACAGCTTATGTGGAAGATGCCGTGTTAACGATCCAGACCTCCTTTATCTAAGAACCGCTTGCATGGCTAGATCTATTCTACCCGATTAACTCTGATAGAAGCATTACAATCCGTTTTGTTACTATGATTACACTAGCTTTTCCTCAAAGAGCTGCTGTGGAAACTGAATGATGCAAAAGGTAATCTTCATTCTGACACAAGAATGCAGTAAAATCACTTATTTTCAGTTTGCTCTCCTGTTCTATGGCAAATATAACAGAAATTAGATCAGAGCTGAAGCTAGTAAATAACATTGCCCAGAGTACTTGATATAGAAAGATTATTAAACCATCACTGTCTTCAGAAATACCCTTGAGGTGGAGAGCAGAACAAATGTGAAGTGCCCTGTTTAAAATTAGTGGACGTCAGACGTAAGATTTTATAACTGCCGGCTGTATGATGGTTTGATGCTTCCCTGGCAGGCTTCTGGCAAGGAGGAATCTGGAAATGCTAACTAATTCCTTTCTCTGGGCAACCTTACAGGTACTTACAGAACCTGAGAAAGCAGGCAGAGAAAAGACGTCAAACACTGAGTGTGTGTATAAGGGCCACATGCTAGTGCAGGCCCTCGACACAGGACAGGGCCAAACACAGTGGTCAAGAAAGAGCAAGGAATCGGGAGCTAGGAAGGAATCCCGCTGAAGCACACCTCCTTTATTCAAAAAAAAAAATATATATAGGGCGCCTGGGTGGCTCAGTTGGTTAAGCGACTGCCTTCCGCTCAGGTCATGATCCTGGAGTCCCAGGATTGAGTCCCGCATCAGGCTCCCTGCTCAGCAGGGAGTCTGCTTCTCCCTCTGACCCTCCCTCCTCTCATGTGCGCTCTCTCTCTCTCTCATTCTCTCTCTCAAATAAATAAAATCTTTAAAAAAATTAAAAAAAAAATAAAAAATATATATTATATGTGTGTGTGTGGGTATACATTTACACATTTTAGATGTAGATTTAGTTTAAAGGTTCTTTAACTTTGCCTAGATTAATAAAAAAGATCTTCTGTATATAATATCTGAATTTTCAGTTTAAAAAAATTTTTTTCTGAGGTGAGTTTGGATCAAGGATCCAATATACCTCAGCCTGCCTCTTGGATTCAAAGGTGAATCTAATGGACACATCACTCTTTTAAGAGTTTTGCTAAATCAGAGGTTAAAATGTATATAGCAGTGCAAGCATAGATACTAACAAATCTTCAGTATCGATTATCTGATGAAAGGCATCGATCGTGGCTGCTACCCAACCAAAGAACAACAGGACATGGTTTCGTAAAGCAGACCACTTCTGAGGTCTAATGGTGCGGTATGAGAGCAGGGACATGAGAACCCGGCCAGGCATGTCACCAGGCAACATTAAGCGTTACTCAAATGGGAAAAATGGGCTTTTCACCTTTCTTTGGGGCCCCTGACACACAAGTGCAGCAGAGTAACAACGTCCCTTCCCTGAACACCGCAGCAGGGGCTGACCTAGGCACTTCTGTAAATGCAGTCGTTAATTCTCACACGCCAACAAGAGAAGGACTAAGTACTTCCAACACCTCTAGCTGACAATCGAGTCAGTGGACGTAAACATCACACGGAAGCACAGGAAGGACAGGCACCGACACTCACACGCACGCTCTCACTCCAGCTCTGGCCGACACAGTCAATTCTGTGCATGAATTCCTCATCAGGAATCCATCTAAAACTAACATTTTCTTTGGTTAAAAGCTACTGAAATCACAGTTAATAGGAAAGATGCAAAAGCAAAACAGAAATGAACACATTTTACTTTAGATTTTTAAGAAGATCTTAAATTCTGAGACTATCGCTGCTAAAGTGAATTTCAACCCAAGATGGGAGTGAAACTGAAGAGGTTCAGGGCAACCTCGTGAAGCCGGGGATAGAAAAAGTGGCCAGAAATAAACACACTGAAATCGTAAGTATAGTTGTGTTTTTAGGATGAGCCAGTATTTTCTCTATGCTCTAAAATTTCTGTAATGCTCTACTGCTTTTACTGGAAACTGGGAAAAGTAAGGAGCAGTCTGTCACTCAGACTTCCAGGATGCACACAGCCTAAGGGGTCTCCGGCTCACGTGCACAGGGAACAACATACAATCACAGTGACCATTATAGCAAAGTCTGTAACTGTGAAAAATGAGAAGAAACCTCAAAGTCTCTTTTTCTGGAAAGATGGACATGTTCATTCAATGGAGTACTTCAGAGAAGTGAAAAGTGAATGTGTCACCATGGATCCATTTTAGAAATCAACGTTAAGCCAAAAAAGCGTGATACAACAGGAAACGGACAGTAAGATAATCTTAATATAGATTTTTTAGAGCATGCAAACAATACTATTATTTTAGTGACACAAACATAAGTAGTAAAATTATTAGGAGATGTAACAACTGAATTTCAGACGCAGAACAGAAGTTGCCTGCGGGGGAAGAAAGGTGCGAGGAACAAAGCCAACAGTCTCTGTCCTCTCTCCAGAGCTGTCCGGCCTGAACCAGCTGTGCTGTCCTGTGACAAGTGGGGTCCGAGCCTCAGTGTCCTTTGTGTGCTGTGGGACACCCACAGACACAGACCGCTCCCTCTCCCGCTCAGGAGGAAATGGGAGCCCTCACTGACCTGCCTTCCAGCACAGCCCCCGCGTCCCTGTGCTCCAGCAGCACCCCAGCACCCGGCCCCTTGGCCTGCACATCTCTTTGCCCTGTTCTGCACACGGCCCAGCCACTCTGCCATCTGGAGAGCATTTGAGTGCCGCCCCTCAGAGGGGCCTTCCTTGACCACCCTATTTAAACAACCCCGCTGTCTTCCAACCTTGCTCATTTCAAGAGTGGACATGTATTCATTCATTCGGTGATTTTGTATTTGTAGGACAATGCAGTTACTTTCACCGCTCAAATCCATGCTACTCGAAAGTCTGTGTGGATGGGAGCAGGAGGGGCTCGTTGAAGGGACCCCGTCAGGGAGATTTCGGCCCCCTCTGCCAGTCCTCCCCGGTGCATCTGAGAAGACCCTCTCTGGGGGGCCAAAAGGAAGCAGTAGGTCTTTCCAGGTGAGAGGAAGAAAGAAGGCACACATTTTGTCTGTATAAGCTGAAAATTAATGAAAATTATTGGCAAACAGCATCAAACCATTAAAACAGCATTATGTCTGAAGTTGAAATATTTGATGTTAAGTGTCATCTGCCTTCCAAACACTTCCCCACACTGAGCTGCCAACCAGAAACTGTCTGGACTACTGACTGAGCTACTTCAGCCAAAAGGGAAGAAGTGCCCATCTATCAGGATGCCAAGAGAGTCACTGAGGAGACCCCACCCCATCGTTCCCAACAGCGCCATCGGCATGGGGGAGCCGGGCTGGAGAGACAGACCTGGTATCACAGGGCACGTACAGGATGCCCCAAGGAGATCACCCCCCATGCCCGCCAGCAAAGGCGCCCAGTGGCCACTGAGCCAAGACGCACAGGCAGCGCACGGGCCCAACACCCCTGGCGAGGCTGCGAAGTCGGTCAGTGGCAGAGCTCTGGAAAACCCTGTAAGCGAAGTCCAATGGTACACAGCAGCAGTATCATGCTTCTGAAAACCTGATCGATTTATCTTTCAACCATCTCCACTCTGAAAACCAAATACTAAATGTTAATAATTTAACTTAATTTCAAAAATCTTTTCTTTTACCAGAGGAGCCCAGTAGGTGTAGAGATAGCCTATTTTCAATGCTGGCACAAACTGTGAGCAGGATACTACCAGAAAATAGAGATTCAAGAAAAACTTGAATTGTTCATATAAAACCTAAAAAGGAAAAGAAAAAATTAACACAATCTCTCCAAGGACAACCTTTAAAACGTCAATTAAATAATTAAATCAGCACAATATCTAACTACATTTCCATCAAAGAGTGACAATATGCCCTCAGTTACAGTAAATTAAGTAATTCTGACACTGCCTTTCCAATAACTAAATTCCATATATATTTATTTAAAATTATATTTAAAATAAACTGAAAAAACAATTAGAACTTCCAATTATGTTAAAAGCATCCTCTAAAAGTTTTTAGTTTCTTGTATACAATTTCCAGTTTTGCACACTCCCCTGTAAATCTCTGTATGTATATCAAAGCAAATGAGATAGCGAAATCTTCCCAATGTAAGTCAATAAATATATTATTTATATACACACAAATGTGTATCTTGATAACTCAGAAACTCTTACAATGGGAAAGTTCTATTAACCTTATATTTATGAAACGGTAAAAAATAAAATATAATAGCCACGTTTCTGAACATGAACATCTGGGTAGCTTTAAAATAACTGAGCAAACAAGCAAAACATACACAATTTGACTTCACAAAAACTGTCTTAATCTCCTCTATTTACTTCTCTCGAAGTATAAGAAATAATGACATAAAAAAGTATGTGAATTGCACACCAATTCAGGAAGACAGCGACCTATATATATATTCTTTATAATCTCTTGGCAGTTGATCTGCAATAATATTTTCAAATACAAAAGAAGTATCCTTCAACAAAATTTTAGGAATGCAAATCCTGCAACTTTGTTTTTGTTTTTTAATTCAAATAGAGTTATTTTTAAGGAAGAAAACCCAAGAGCCAGTATATTAATAGACTTCTATTTACAAATTCTCAAATTATTAAATTTAAATTGAAAATCAAAATGGAACAAATTTCATGTTTATAGATGAGAATAATTCAAATGGCACACTACCATTGCAATTAAACTTACAACCTTGCAACTTCCAAATCAAAATCTCTTTGGATGCCATTTTATATGCAACTTGGAGGGTACGGAAATTTTAACAAGAGCAGAGCAATGGGTTAAGTACTTATTGTTGACTTAAAGAGTCTGGAACCACAGTTTTTATATAATGAAGTTTTCTACATTACCATACGGCTGTTTGTGCAACTCAAAAATCAGCTACAATGATAACACGTTTCTATTCATAATCATATTCAATTGCTGTCTAAAGATGTTTTGAGTCATTTCAGAAATTAATCTCAGCAGGAGAGAAAGCTCTTTCTCCTCAGTGATTTCTTTAAAATCTCAGGTAGCATAAATTATATCTATTAGCAATTCAAAAATTGCCATTTGTGCTAAAAATGGCATAGAATTCCTACTGTGCAATTACCAAATGTTTCTAAAATACTACGTTTTAGATGAAAAGCCTACTTTAAGAGACAATCTAAGAACGAGAATTCACACGGTAACAGTGGTGCAGCCACACCAACAGGTGCTCTCAGGACACAGCCCATCCTGGTGGGCTGCAGGGATTTGCTCTGGTCAGAGTGAGGCTGCACTGTGGGCTTTAAGCCACTGTAATCAATACTCTGTTGTCTACTGAATGAACTTTGTGACCTTTAGGAAAATGTACAATGCTTCGCCAATCTGTGAGTATTTAAAATTTAAAGAAAACAGTAACTTCATTCAAGAAAGATGAGAATATTTATCTGCCTGAAAGACAGCTTACATTTTATTGTCCTGACAAAAGAGCTGTCTTTTAATGACGGAGACAGTAGTTTTGTGTGTTTTACTAAAGAGTTAATTAGATAGGAAGCATTCACCAACTATTAGATGGATGGGGGAGGGTGGTGAGGGGCAACCAATGCCCAGTATAAAATCAGCATGATTATTTAAATTAAAACATGAAAAATAAAACAGCCCTTATTTCACTTTACCAAGACATTTTCTTGTAAAGAGCATAAGAGCAAATAACTAGAATGTGTCAGAAACTTTGATATAGAAATATAACCAGTACCAGCTTCCTTTTGCCTTTAGAAAGACGAATAAATTGGTCTATAAAAATAGGAAATGTACAAAAACCAAAAACTAGTCAATCATCCTAAATACATACTCAGTTTGGTAACTTAAGCCAAAAATACCACTAGCAACCAAAAAAGTAATGAAATATTTAAACTTCGTTATTTACACCTAGCATAATACCTAATTAAAGATAACTAATGATATAACAACATAACGGCTTGAAATTTATAATGTGAAGTAGAAAATATTATCTATAAATGCTTACAGATATTTTGTTACTGAGTCACGTTTGTATAAGAAATTATTTTACTTTCATCATGAAGTTCCTTGGCAGACTTTAAACTTAACATTCCACTTCACCTCCAAACAAAACTTAGGACTTATTTTCTGTTAATTTAATTTAGGCTTGATTATTTCTACAATACTATAAATATATTTATCTAGGATTGAAGTCAAACTATAAATTTTCTCACACTGAACTTCATGATGTACCCATTAAAAGTGCGCATGAATTATTTAACAACTACTTGAAACATGAATGGTTCAAAAGCAAAAGGTCACTGATTTGGACAGGACACAATTAACGGGAAAAAAAATTAAAAAATAAAAGAAAAAAGAACAGTGAAAACAAAAGGAGCCAGCAATCTCTGATATGAAACCCATTCTTAAGAATGTAATAGTCTTACCCCAGGTATAAAGGTAAATACATTGTATTTTTTATTTTTTATAGAATTTCCGGGATGCTTTTCTTCACACTTTTCAGGATATCCAAGCCACACCGTGCGAGCTTTCAGTTCTCTCTTTCTTTGACAAATATTTATCAGCCAATCACAGCAAGTGCATGAAACAAAAGACACTCCTTATATATGCTTTTTAAAAAATGTTTAAATTAATGCTACATATTTAGAGCCAATACTGATTGTTTCTGTATTTACCAGACACCGAAAGCATATCTAATGTTAATCTGTAAAGGTTATCTTCAAATAGGTTATACTGAAATAACTTTGACATAAAACACTGAAAGAGACTTGTATGAGTGCATAATGACTTCTAGAACCTCAGGGAAGTGATCTTCCCTGTTTAGACCCTCTTACTGACAAAACCATTAAGTTTCTGAAGCAATCAATGCTCTTCTATGAGGAGGAAAGGAGAGCCGTGTCGTTTGCAATTCTCAATACACCGCTCAGTGATCCGATGACAAAGGTCCTCGGACATCAACTCTCTCAGGTAATCACTCTTTTCCTCTCTTAAAGAGGACTATTTTAGTAGCATTCATATAAAATTAAGACTTACGGCTCCCTTCAATATTGGGAAAGAACACTGATGTTTAAGGGGATAGGGCTAAAGCTATCTTCCAGTCCGTCCATGTGCCATAGTGTCAGGACTCCAGCAGCACCAACACTTCCACTTCCTGGACATCCAAACCATTATGTTTGGATAGAGAGAATAAACTTTTCTCAAAACACTTAAGAAAATGGTGAAAAGGTATCAAAATCACCTAAACTAAGCATAAAATAATAATCGTGAATTTAAACTTCAGCATGCACAATTTGGCTTTGCTCAAATCTCCAAACTGCAGAAGGAGACCTAGAATGGCTTACGAAGGCAGGTTGTTGAAGTGTATCTTCTAGGTGTAGTCTGGGCTACAACAGCAAGCCAGCAGCAAAAGGCAGAAGCTCTGAACTCCACTCTGTGACAGACTCAGCTGAAAAATGAACATGAAATTCTGTGTGACAATGTCAGTCTCAGGAGGTGTGATTATAAAATGAAGTTGGCATATCAGGACTTCCATCTTGAAATCACTGCACGTCTTCCACGGCAGGTGGGGAGGGCGCACTAGCCCTTTACTCCAATCACACTGACATCAATCTTCAGAAATCGCCTTACTTTGGATAGCACCCACGGTGGCATCCTATAAACTGAAATCGGTGTATCTCTACTGAATACCTGCCTATTTCTTAGCTGTGCACAGAAAATCTTCAGTCCGGAAGGACAGGAGTCTGCCCTCCAGGTGTGGGCATCCACCTCTCGCCCGCCTGCAGGACTGGGAGCACTGCTACCTTGAGGAGCTCTCTTGTGATGGCAATCCTGAGTGCCAGGGGCACAGCCAAGCAGGTCAGTTCTAAACCACCCCCCTAGGACCCATCCCACTTCAACTTTAAAGAACAAATAGCATCCTCCACACATAAAGAATACTTTTAAATCCCAGCAGTTAGAAACCAGGATATTATTAAAGCGGATTAAGATTGCCACAGTACGTATTCCCGCCTTTACTGCCTGTTGTTGG